CCCCAAAACCCCAAAACCCCAAGAAGTAAAATTTACTTGATAACTAAATGTAATAAATATCAATTATTGATGAAATTAATCAGAAAATATTTAGAAAGATAAATCATTCTTATTGTTGCATTACTATTGATAGTTATTAATCATAGCTTAGCCTGATGTTTGTCTAGCAGCGGGTATGCAATCTCCATAAATGACTCAATCATGGTTGTTTACTTAAGCAGTATCTTAAGTAAACTCTTGGCCTAAAAATGAGTTAGCTTATCGTGAGTCTTTATGCGACTACTTTCCTTATCTATATACTTCATCAGTCTTTCAGGTGTTAGCTGCTTGTTTTTCTCAGTGATAGTGGCTCTGTTATGCAGCCACACCCAAAGTTAAGCTCTGCAAATCTCAGTAGTTGCTGCATCTTCCATCAGGTTCTCAAAGGCTACAGCTCCTATGCCTTTCAACCAGTTGAAGTAGTAGATAATGCACACACGGATGCTCTTCAAGATGTCTACCTTTTCCACTTGAAGATCGTACTTCTCAGCACATTTAGAATTCACAAATGCAAAGATCTCGTCGAAGGTTTATCTATACTCGTCTTCCTCAAACTTTTACTTTTGATTGGGAGAGTTGCTAACTACCATTGAGAAGATCTTTTATGCTGTCTCGACTAAAACCGGGTGAATCACCCAGGATCCATCAAATCCTTCATTAGCCTCCTCTCTTTTCTCCTTAACTATTTGGGCCTTAGCTTAGATTGTTGCCTTAGGGAAATGCTCTCTAGGAACGTAATTTGATGCTCCTCCAATTACATGAATGCCTCTTTTATGAGCTATATGTACCACATATCTGTTGAAGTTATTCATAAATTTATCCTCCATAGATATCTTGTGCCTCGAGTCTATGAAACTATTCTGGAAGTGCTGGAATCTTTTTACTATAGAGAATATATAGTTCCATCTGCCAGTGTTCACACCCACTATACGATGCTTGAAGGCAAATATAATCTCTTCCAATTCAAGCATAGCTGTGACTGTTTCTACTATTACAGTTACTTTGAATGTATTAGTTGGGACCAACAACTACTTCTCAAGATATATTAGCATTTAATTCCAGAATATAGCTTCTTCCATATTATTAATCTTGGGCAGATAAAAGTAGCAACTTTGTCCTAGATCTTGTAAAGTCTGATGATTCAAATAGGCATACACCGTCAGATCAAATATAGTTGCTGAGATTGGTGTGCCATCTACTAAAAGATGTGCTTCTTCCTTAGCAAGAGATCTAGGTCGAATCATCACCTGACTGTTGATATTTAGCACCTGGTACTCTTTAGATTTGGATGGCTCGTAGAATCTTAGATTTCGCTTAATTGCCTTCATCATGTTATAGTGGCCACCAAGGATATTAGGCCAAGTTGGAGACAAAGCATCTTCGAAGTCAGCCATAAACACATCTGCTCCTGAGTTTAAGGCATTTACAACCTCTTTTTTATTTGGAGGAGCAGTGATCTCTACTTGACGCTTCTGTAGGTTTTAAGGATATGATCTTGCTACCCATCTATGTTTTCTTATCGCATGAGTCTCTAGTCTTTACCTCTATATCAAAATAGTATGTTAGCATGTATTAATAAATAAATTTTGATCAAATAGGATTTTGTTATAAAGAGAAATACTCATGTTTAGTTTAACACTGAGATTAAAATCAAGACTTAATGTTGAAATATGGATTTCTGTACTTACAAGTGAACCATCAGTATCGAATCTAGATAGACTGTGTTAGGTTTGAAGGAGAATGTTGTTCCTCTCAACTGAGAACATATTATGCATTGTGAGCAAAAGATCAAGGCACTCCATTGGTAGTACATTCTTGAGAAGGAAATGTTTTTGAGTGAATTTGATGATTTATTTATCTTCCATGGAATCTAGCAAGGATTATTGATAAAAATCTAATCTAATTTATTATACTACATCATCTCATATCCTTTTTACGTATTAACCTACTTCTACCTCGTCATAGATTTTACTACTTGGGGTTTTGGGGTTTTGGGG